ACATTTGTTATGATATTCACGCGAAAAGACCACGTTCCGGCGGCAATTGTTCTATTGATTATTCGTAATTTGAGAATAATTTATACTTGCTTGAATGTTTTAGCTTCTTTGATCATAACTTGATATGACAATATGTCATATTTTAACAATTTTTAGCTTTACTAAACATTTGTACAATTTTATCAACTGTAAATTATCTTAATTCAATTCGAAATTAATAATAATAATCGGAATTTGAATACCGGAGTTTTAATTTTTCTATTAGCCGAAATTTTTAATTATAATTTCGATTAATCGGCTGAAACGAAGATCAAAAGCAGTTTGCTCTGTGATTGTGTGGTTGCATCTCAGTCGTTGAGCGAGGACGACTGACACTAGCAGAAGAATTTCTGCTCGATGACACTGATAAGATTCTTTCTGCTCGTTTAGACTGATAAGATTATTTCTGCTTGATGAGACTAATAAGATGCTTTCTGCTCGATGAAACTGATAAGATTCTTTCTGCTCGATGAAACTGATAAGGTTCTTTTTGCTCAATTAGATTAATAAGATTCTTTCTGCTCGATGAAACTGATAAGATTCTTTCTGCTTGATGAAACTGGTAAGATTCTTCCTGCTCGATTGTACTGGTAAGATTCTTTCTGCACGATGAGACTGATAAGATTTTATCTGCTCAATGAGACTCATAAGGTCTTTTCTCTGATCGGAGAACGCGATATGGTCCATGAAACAGACTCGTTTGTATGATAACAAAGCATATTAATTGGTTTTATATATTACCACCATATTTATTAATTGGTTGTATAAATTACCACCATATTTATTAATTAGTTCTATATATTACTACCATATTTATTAATTAGTTTCATATATTACTGAGATACTTATTAATTAGTTCTCCATTTTACTGCCATACCTGTTAATTAGATCTATATATTACTGCCATACGTATTAATTAGTTCTTTTTAATACTGCCCATATTTATAATTAGTTCTATTTAATATTGCCATAATTATTATATAGTTCTATATATTACTTCCATATTTATTAATTAGTTCTATATATTACTGCCATATTTCTTAATTAGTTCTATATATCACTGTCATATTTATCATAACGTCATTTGTCGTCACTAGCTGTAGGTTGGTACTCCGGGCCGGCCCGATCTGGTCGGGAAGAGATTTTCACCAGTGACACACGGAAATGTTTTATAATATATTGCAAAAAGTGAAATAATATAAATAATATAGAGAGACCCTAACCGTCGAGCTATATATATAATCTACCCGGACAGGAAACTTCTACGTTGCGGTAGCTCCGCTGACCTTCCGTTCACCCTGCACTATAAACTTTTGTTTATAAATCCAACGGCTTCCATTCACGTTGTTGCCTACTCAGTCTCACTGAATTTCATAATTTACTCGGTCAGTGCCGCTGAACATCGTAGTTTTCTCAGTGGCACTAAGATGTAAAATCTACTCAGTCAGCGCCACTGAAACGTTTCTGGTGCTCATTGAAACTGAAACGTGTCTATGAAGCCGGTGGGAGTGATTCGATATTATATACGGGACTTGTTTATTACTAGAATACATCAAGAACATTTTGATTAACAATATTGAAGTTAAGTGCGTTATTTCTCTTCAGTCAAAAAACAATTGTCCGTGTAATAGGCAATTGGTGAACGATGACTATTAAACGCGTGGATGATAAGCGGCCGAAGTGTCCGCTTTTATCACTTAGAATAACGTATTGTAGCGTATAATAGCGTATATAACGTATATAATAGCGTATATGACGTTATGTAGCGCCCAGTGCTGGACGCTTGGGATCAAATACGTCAAATTATTTTCCGATTTTGGTTTTGGAGTGACTTGCTCACGTCATGTCTTGCGGTATGTGCATCCTTCTCTTAATTATATATAGCTTGATTTAATTACCTTATTGTTTTTATTAACGCAATTATTTTACACGGCTTGAATATAACTGGATTATTCATATCCCAAACTACTGAATTATCTTATGATAAAACGCTCAACAATAATAATTTGCTGCCTTTTATATAATTTTCTTGCATTTAGAATTTGAAATGCAATGGAAACCTGAAGGATGTGGATGATGGTGCCCGGTCTCTGTAGTGAGTTCAGGTTCCGCCAACTGAATATGAAAAAACGCGATTTAAACACAAAAATATTATTGAAATAATTTCATTAACATGACTATTCAATTATAGAATACTCATCTCAAAGAAATGAAATATACCTTTACAGACACCATTAAATTTAAACATAAATAAACCATTACGGACACGATTAAGTCCATCAGCCTGATAAGTTTAACGTAGTCACGAATAGTCGTTAGGGCGGCTTGTTTGTTTATGCAAAATTAATGAAGAAACTAATGAACAGCTGCTATTGTGGTCCATTATATTAACGATGGGTCTATCGTTAAAATATTTACCTTCATTCATGTCGATACAGTATGCACTTCATTTTCTTACCAACCTACTTTGTAGAACATTAATCTAGTATCGTGTCTCATTGCTATAACATCGATCGAATGGGACTGAACAGCAGCACTCACGTCTGCTTACGAAGCCTCGCAATCATTAACTTTATCTAAATCATTAACATTAATGATACATTTTAGATAGTAAAATTTGAGTTCAACTCAAGTTTTACATTGAAGTTCAACATAAGTTTTACATTTCATTTCATTTCAAGGTTTCATTACAATTCCGCTTAAGATATGCAGGAGAGTTCAACTAAAGTTATGCAGTGGTGCTCAATACTAGTTGAAGCTTTGAATAACACACGAATTTTTTTGTTATAGGAATACTTTTTGACAATCTAAGATTGGGCCCTTGCGAATGATTTGCAATTCAACGGCAGCAAGTTCGAAGCAATGAGATACAGAGTTGGCACAGATACCGGGATTCCACATCGCTTCTTGACATCAGATGGCACAGAAATTGAGGAGAAGCTACTTGTTCGAGATATCGGATTGTTGATGAGTACTGAAGCCACGTTCGATGTCCATATCGAGGAAATAGTCACGCGCAGCCGGCAACAGATGGGGTGGATATGGTGGACATTTCGAACGAGAGAAGCAGCACCAATGATTACACTCTTCAGAGCCCTCGTGCCCCCCAATCTTGAGTATTGCTGCCAGCTTTGGTCGCCACTCAAGGCGGGTGCGGTGCGGAAACTGGAGGCAGTGCAGCGTACCTTCACGTACAGGATCAGCGGCATGAGGGAGCTGAACCTGAACTACTGGGGAAGGCTGAAACACCTGGAACTGTACTCACTGGAGAGAAGAAGGGAAAGGTATATCATACTGTACACTTGGAAGATGATAAACGGACTGGCTCCCAACTTTGAGAGTGAGACCTCCAAATTAACGACATATTACAACGAAAGAAGGGGGAGACTGTGCAGGATTCCTCCATTTAATTACCGAGCCGCGGCCAGAGTACGGACTCTTCGTGAGGGATCACTGTCCGTGGTAGGACCGAGGCTCTTTAATGCCTTGCCAAAAGCGCTGAGAGGAGGGGAGTTCACCCTTGCAACATTCAAGAGACGACTGGACAAGTGGTTGAGAAAGATCCCGGACTGTCCAGTAATGGGAAACTACCCTCAGCAAGTGACAAGCAACAGCATCTTGCATCAGCTGGCCCAAATGAGGGCAAATAGACGGAACACGTCCAACGTTACATCCGACGACGACTCGGAGACGGAGGACGACGAAGGCGGCGCATCAGCGTGACCTTGGACTACGACGTCCTAAACTCATCATAAGGTCATAAGGTAAGGTCATAAGGTCAACAGCATCTTGCATCAGCTGGCCCAAAGAAGTGGAAATATATGGAACACGTCCAACGTTACATCCGGGACACGAGGGCGGGGTGACCTGCCTAGCGACGACTCGGAGACAAAAGACGACGAAGGCGGTGCATCAGCGTGACCGGGGACTAAGAAGTCCTAAACTCATCGTAAGGACATAAGGTCATAAAGTACGAATATTGATATTCAGTGTAAGCAATATTTTCCCACAAGTTATAAATATATTGAATTTTGGAAAAATGCTTGGTAAATGGGATTGAATATTTTTTACCATGTTATGTTGCTGGATTTACCCTAACAAAATTCGGGGACAGCGTAGGGTTTGGCCGAATAGATGTTACTCTCGGGGCAGAGTCATTCTGGGTCTGCTTGGCCATCCGATCGAAATCAGTTTCTGGTCAGAATCTCTTTTCCGACTTTATAACAGCCTCAGAGTATGAAAAGAGTAGGCCGAGCAGAGTCATACCGAGCTAGCAAACTGCCCAGAGGCTGCCCTTCGAACCCTGAGCCGAAGCGGACATATAGAGAAGCTGATTTTCTTGCGGTCCGAGTCCTAGGCGGTTCCTAATTCAGGGTCGTCACCAATTCAAAATTTTGTTGGGGTAGTTGTAGATGCTTATTTATTGAAGTTAAAGCTCATATAGTGAGAGTTTAAGATAGAATATTTTCTCGATCACACATCAGCAATACGGTCGATTGTATTCATTTTTGAATAAATCAATGACGAGTCTAAATTCACTTGTAAACAAAACATTCATCGTTATTTAATAAAATTCATTATGCATTTTGCAATAACATTTCCTTAATATAAATTTCTACATCAAAATACGGTGGTGAAGGCTTTTTTTCACTCTAGATTGGCCGTCACACTCAGAAAAATTGAGAAATTTCGTCCGAATTGTAACTCACTTCTTTTCCTTGCGTGAGCCATCTTGACCCAGTTCTGCCCTACAAAAGGCGTATCAGTGCTACAAGCAGAAAGTGTGTCACTATTTTGTTATGATCGCCTTACCATAGAGTAATTACTTGTATATTCGAATCGGTATTTATCTTTGCTACTCTGAAGTTTTCTTAGCTCATCTTTAATTTAATAATTTGTTTTGAAATTATTTTCTTCATAATAACTAAGCAAATTGTTCTGGCGAAAGGACGTATCGTTAGATGGCATATTGGATACGACGGTTAGTAGTAGTTGAATAAGGAAGTCAACTGTACTCTGTCTTATGTGTAAAGCTTCAGAGTTTACGGTCATGAATCAGAGTGTCTTGTTTTTATCCTCCAAGAAATGCGTACTACCAAAACTTACGAACGGCTTTTACGTAATGGTTGCTACGTGTATACTGCGGCAGCGTGTGTGCCACGACAATTTGGACAATAATACCCGTTCATTTTTCTGAGCACAGGTCTTTTATTTTTGCCGACATCGCCAGACCCTCACCGGCGAGCTCCTGCAGCGCCCTCAGCCCTCAGGGCCCAGGCTCTGCAGCGCCCTCAGCCATCAGGGCCCCAGGCTCCTGCAGCGCCCTCAGTCCTCAGGGCACAGGCTCTGCAGCGCCCTCAGCCTTCAGGGCCCAGGCTCCTGCAGTGCCCTCAGCCCTCAGGGCCCAGGCTCCTGCAGCGCCCTCAGCCCTCAGGGCCCCAGGCTCCTGCAGCACCCTCAGCCCTCAGGGCCCAGGCTCCTGCAGTGCCCTCAGACCTCAGGGCCCCAGGCTCCTGCAGCGCTCTCAGACCTCAGGGCCCCAGGCTCCTGCAGCGCCCTCAGCCCTCAGGGCCCCAGGCTCCTGCAGCGCCCTCAGACCTCAGGGCCCCAGGCTCCTACAGCGCCCTCAGACCTCAGGGCCCCAGGCTCCTGCAGCGCCCTCAGACCTCAGGGCCCCAGGCTCATTCCAATGACGTGCAAAAGTTTTTTATTTAAATACCTACTTCAAGGTTGGGATTTAGCGTCCTGCATACTTGGATGAATTGGCCCCAGTGCCCCGAGCTGAATTGGTTCTAGTGCCCCGAGCTGAATTGGTCCTAGTGCCCCGAGCTGAATTGGTCCTAGTGCCTCGAGCTGAATTGGTCCTAGTGCCCCGAGCTGAATTGGTCCTAGTGCCCCGAGCTGAGTTGGTCGTAGTGCCCCCCGAGCTGAATTGGTCCTAGTGCCTCGAGCTGAATTGGTCCTAGTGCCTCCGAGCTGAATTGGTCCTAGTGCCTCGAGCTGAATTGGTCCTAGTGCTTCGAGCTGAATTGGTCCTAGTGCCTCGAGCTGAATTGGTCCTAGTTCTCTAGCTGAATAACCTCATAATAACGTGCTGATTTCACACTGAAAATAGGATCATCATTTATATTATTTATGTTACATGCATATTCATATACGTTTATTCATTCATATTACATGCCCGCTCGTGCAGTCATCGTGGAATCAATTGCGAAATGAAACTACAGGAGACGGTTTGCCCTCATTTTTTTCCCCCTCACTTACCCTCTATCTCCGCTCCTCATCTGGCTACTCATCTCACCCCTCGCACACCTCAACCCTCACTTCTAACCTAGCCCCTCATGTCGCTCCTCAATTCTACTAGTGAACTAATAGTTGAATTGTTATTAAAATTGGAACTAAATTTTTTTTAAGGACCTCTTGTCAGACTCCGACCATATTGGCTTTAATTTTGCCATCATTGCTTTACCAATTAGCTCATCCATGCGTAACCCACCTCCCCATGATACGGGGAGGTGTGGGGCTGGTAGGGGAATAAATCTGGCGCAGAGTTGAGGCAATGAATACAGATGAGTCTCTTCCCCTCACGCCTCCCCAGTGACTCTGACAAGTGGACTCATTTGCAGAGTCATGGAGTCTCTGACTCGCTATCTCGGGAGTCTCTGCGTCGACTGATGGAAGGATGTCGAGAGAAGCAGTTAATGGAAAGTAATGTTATGTTTCTACCGTGCGACCTATCTACCATGTCACCTATCTACCATGTCACCTATCTATCATGTCACCTATCTACCATATCACCTATCTACAAAGTCACCTATCTACCATGTCACCTATCTACCATGACACCTATCTACCATGTGACCTATCTACCATGTCACCTATCTACCATATCACCTATCTACAAAGTCACCTATCTACCATGTCACCTATCTACCATGACACCTATCTACCATGTGACCTATCTATCATGTCACCTATCTACCATATCACCTATCTACAAAGTCACCTATCTACCATGTCACCTATCTACCATGACACCTATCTACCATGTGTCTATCTACCATGTCTCTTATCTACCATGTCACCTTTCTACCATGTCACCTATCTACCATGTCACCTATCTACAATGTCACCGATTTACCATGTCACCTATCTACCATGTCACCTATTTATCATGTCACCTATCTACCATATCACCTATCTACAAAGTCACCTATCTACCATGTCACCTATCTACCATGACACCTATCTACCATGTGTCTATCTACCATGTCTCTTATCTACCATGTCACCTTTCTACCATGTCACCTATCTACCATGTCACCTATCTACAATGTCACCGATTTACCATGTCACCTATCTACCATGTCACCTATTTATCATGTCACCTATCTACCATATCACCTATCTACAAAGTCACCTATCTACCATGTCACCTATCTACCATGACACCTATCTACCATGTGACCTATTTACCATGTCACCTATTTACCATGTCACCTATCTACCATGTCACCTATCTACCATGTCACCTATCTACAATGTCACCGATTTACCATGTCACCTATTTACCATGTCACCTATCTACCATGTCACTTATCTACCATGTCACCTATCTACCATGTCACTTATCTACCATGTCATGTATCTAATATGTCACCTATCTAACATGTCACTTATCTACTATGCCATCTATCTACTATGTCACCTATCTACCATGTCACCTGTATACCATGTCACCCATCTACAATGTCACCTATCTACCCTGTCACCTATCTACCATGTCACCTATTTACCATGTCACCTATCTACCATGTCAGTTATCTACCATGTCATCTATCTAATATGTCACCTATCTAACATGTCACTTATCTACTATGTCATCTATCTACTATGTCACCTATCTACCATGTCACCTATCTACCATATCACCTATCAAACGTGCCACCTATCTACCATATCAACTATCTACCATATCACCTATCTACCATGTCACCTATCTACCATATCACCTATCTACCATGCCGCTGTTGACCGCCCTCACGCAAGCTCGGGATTTTCTTCGCAGAAAAACAAGGAATTAACACACGTCCTACGCATGCCTCGGAGGCACGGAGGAGTTTCGCCTTATTTTCCGTTGCTTGTTGAGCACGAACTCTCGCTACGAGGAATGGAAGCTGAATAAATTCATTATGTTTAAATGTTATTCGGTTTGTAAAATATCCATTGTTTCCCCGATGCGAAACATAATTAGGTTTCAGTTTGTGCAAGAAGAATTTTGTGAAATTCCATAGCGATATTTTTTTTCATCAATGATCGTATTTATCAATTCAAAATAGAATAGCGCTTTATCGGCGTTTGCTTTGAGCGCTGATAATTTAAATCTTATTAGGCAACACGCAGAAATGATTTGCCACCAGCTTGAATTTAGCAATATTATCCTCAGCAATTAATATTGGTAATGTTTGTTTGATTTCTAGCGCGTAGCAAAATGTAAAAATAAGTTGAACAACAGGCTTTACTTTGCTAATTAAATCTGCTTTATTGCGATAGCTTCGCCTCATTGCGTGGCTGGCTAGGAGTCCTGTGTGAGGTTGCCCTATAATGAGTGCAATTATTATTATGTAAATTATGAGTGTTATTATTATTTATATCTCTTTAATTAATGCTTTTTTGCCCCCTCTATTACGAAGGAATTATTTGAGTACTCATTCTGAAACATCTATTATATGTATGAGTGCTAGATTAAGTCCTCTATAATAACTTCCTCACTCAACTCTACTTTTAGTGCTCTAAATATGTACTCTAATTCATGCTCTCTATAGATGAGTACTCTATTCGAGTCTCCCTTAAGAATAGATATGTGCAATATATTATTTAGGTGTGTGATGGAGGTGAATCCGATGAATAATCTATGATGAATTCAGGAATTCTGGTCCCGATGAATGATCTATGTTCAGTCAGGAACGGTGCCTTTTTATTTTAGTAGCCTAAACAGTTATAATTACTATATGAAAGAATAATTTTTATCTGCTTTCATTATTTTTATTATTAAGAATCTGGAAATACTTCGTGATTCTTTGTGAATTTATAGATATAAAAAAGTTTTAAGGATGCAGCACTAAGCGTATTGTCCATGATACTTTAATAGTCCAATATTCTTATAAGATCCGACATTTTTAGCGAGGTTATCAGTGCGGTGATATGAGTTACTGTTCATTAAAGTGTAATGCTCGACTAAAAAGCCACGACTGCCCGATAAGAAAGAAAATAAGGGCGACAGAAATATATGGCCTAGAAAATTTACGTAGCATATGGGTTGCATGTCGGTAAGTAGGTTAGTGAAACAAACGTTCTTCCTCGTTTAAGTTGCCGCCTTCAAAAGAAACGCTCTGTTTACATAGTCTATATTGAACCAGGGCTTCTAGTAAGATTTAGAGCAGCTTGGCAATATTAATGTGGCAATGTAAAAGTGTACTCCTGACCATACAGTATTATATTGCAGTATACAGTATTATACTGCAGTATACAGTATTATACTGTTGTTGATGAGTGGCGAGTTAAACACAGTGTCTGCAGCGTGATGACTTACGTGTCAATGACGGTAGTGTATTGATCTGTCTTGATCACTCACATATTCACGTAGCTACCTAAAGTATTTATAACTCACATAGCTACCGTAAGTATTTATAACTCACATAGCTACCGTAAGTATTTATAACAATCGCTGTGCTGCTACTCTTTACATGTGCTTTATCAAGACTTCCACTTGAGTGCTCTACTTCCACTGCTACATTTGATTGCTGTATCACGAGCGCTAAATTTGAGTCTTTCATTATGAGTGCGACTTTTGAGTTCTAAATATGAGTCCTCATAGGTGTCCTGCAGCCACATGGCTGGTCAGTGTCCTGCAGCCACATGGCTGGTCAGTGTCCTGCAGCCACATGGCTGGTCGGTCTCCTGCAGCCACATGGCTGGTCGGTGTCCTGCAGCCACATGGCTGGTCGGTCTCATGCAGCCACATGGCTGGTCGGTGTCCTGCAGCCCCACATGGCTGGTCAGTGTCCTGCAGCCACATGGCTGGTCGGTCTCCTGCAGCCACATGGCTGGTCGGTGTCCTGCAGCCACATGGCTGGTCGGTCTCATGCAGCCACATGGCTGGTCGGTGTCCTGCAGCCCCGCATGGCTGGTCGGTCTCATGCAGCCACATGGCTGGTCGGTGTCCTGCAGCCACATGGCTGGTCGGTGTCCTGCAGCCACATGGCTCGTTTGCTGTATGCGCGTTTGCTGTATGTGTGTTACTCGTGTACTCACGTCAGTTGTGGAACACTGTTATGCAGGTAGAATCTCAGTTAGAATTTCTATATTTATTAAATAAACATATAAATTGCAGAATTAGGTTAAATTAATTTAATATAATATATTAGCTTTTTCATTTTTATATTTGGTTGGAAATTATAGATTTTTTCTATGAAAACTAACATGGATTACTATACAAATTCAATAACCGTGTCTGCTGTTCAAACGCCCTGTGTTTTATTCACCCTTTATTCATACAAAAGTATACAAATAATCTAATACAACAATATTAACAAACTTTATACCGTATTAGCTAAAGACTACCTCTACAATAGCAGTTGTTTATTCGCCGTCTTTCATATTCATTTCCGTCACTGATGAATAAACTAGTCGCAGGATGTAAATACATCTTCATTTTGTCATTTATTGAACATACCGCAAACGGTTTCTGTAAACAAATTAACATACCAATGAACCAACGTAAACTATAATAGAATGGTGATATAATCGTGAATAACCCATCAATATTTCAATAGAAAAATTCTAAGATGAAACTAGTACTATTTCCAAGGATAAATAATTAGATACTTACCAAAACAGTGCGGGCACCGAGCTGTCGCACAACTCGCAACCCGTGAATTGTAATAAAGATTATCCAGCCAAGACTTTCCTACTTCTACGTAGGAAATTTTAAGTAACTTGTACTGAACATGACGTATCGGAATCTGCGACTGCATTAACCTTCAAGTTAATTCATTAATGAGAGTCCCGGACCTAGAGTTCTTGAAAGAAAATATTCGGAGGAGATTTCTTTAAAAAGTATCGTTGATATTGATGAGTTAATAAAAAATATAATATAACCATGTGAAATATAAGTCTTAAGCAGCTATAATGGCTCAACATATATGAAGGCTTGACCCTTATAATGGCTTGACCGTTATAAAGGCTTGACCTTTATAATGGCTTGACCGTTATAAAGGCTTGACCCTTATAATGGCTTGACCCTTATAATGGTTTGACCCTTATATTGGCTTGACCCTTATAATGGCTTGACCTTAAATGGCTCGACCTTATAATGGCTTGACCCTTATAATGGCTTGACCCTAATAATGGCTTGACCCTTATAATGGCTTGACCCTTATAATGGCTTGACCCTTATAATGGCTTGACCCTTATAATGGCTTGACCTTAAATGGCTCGACCTTATAATGGCTTGACCCTTATAATGGCTTGACCCTTATAATGGCTTGACCTTAAATGGCTCGACCTTATAATGGCATGACCCTTATAATGGCTTGACCCTTATAATGGTTTGACCCTTATATTGGCTTGACCCTTTCCCTTATAATGGCTTGACCCTTATAATGGTTTGACCCTTATAAGGGCTCGACAGTTATAGCGGATCGACAGTTAAAATATCTCTACAATTATAATGGTAATGCGTTATAATGATGGCTCGTCAGGTATAGCGTTGTGACCGTTAAATGGATTGAAAGATAAAATGGATCGACAGTTATAATGGATCGGCTGTAATAATGTATATAAACTAATAAGGGTCTGACCGTTATAAAGGCAAGGCAATTATAACGTTGACGTTCCGAGTATGAACGCGTTCAAGAACAGACTAGACGAAGCTATGCAGGAGCATATGTTCAGTCTTAAAATGCCTAGCAAATTACGGACCAGGCAATAAGTCCAGCAGCTATCTCAATCAATCGTACGTTATGGAAAGATCGGGTTCCAAAGGCCGGATCCCTTGTGAATCAGGTCACGAAAAAATCAAGAATCGGCAACTGGCCATGGGCCTATTTCTTCAACGCCGACACTTCTATTCTATTCTATAACTTGTCCACAGTTATAATTCTGCTACTTTTATATGTTGTTGCTGTTATTTTGTATACGCCGTTATAACGGTTCGAAAGTTTTCAGAGCAAAGTGTAATGCGATGTTATGAACACGAACATAGTAAAATATCGAAAATTCTGTTATTATGAATTCAAATTGTGCTCAGTATCCACATCATCAGGTGCAGCTGATGCCGCTGTATCAGCTGATCAGGTGCGCTGCAGCTGGTGGAGAAGCAGGTGCCTGTGTAGCCATCTGTATCCTGTGAAGATAAGACAGCACTAATTTCTCAATTTAAAAATGAAAACGTATCATTTATTAAAAATCATTATTTCGAAACTCGAAATTAGATAATGTAGAACTGATATTCAATTTACTCATATTGATGATGATGATAAGCGACCTTAAATAAATATAACTCAACTTAATATATAAATATTTAATATAATTGATATCGAATTTTAATCTATTTATTTATAACGACTTGGTAAAAATGAACATTAAACAATAGAATTAATATAAGATTGAATATGATACTGACTAGAAAGACAAAAGGAGCTTCACAGAAACAACAGAGATTTCTTCACATTCACTGACCAAATATGTTTTAGATCGTGAATTTTGTCAGCTGAATCTGGAAAAAGCTTGTTTTTCTTGTTGAATTTTTGATTGATACAAAAGTTTGTTTTCGCAGTGTTGATTTCTAACGAACGTGAAATGAATTTTATAGTTGAAATTGAACGAAAAGAAAAATTTTTTGTATTTGCAACAAAATGGAAATTTTTGAGTTTAATTTGCAACAGAAGTAAAATTTCTCTGTCGAAATTGTTGAGAACAACTCACGGCTGTGGCTGGGATGCAAGCGACCCAGGTTGCAAGAGGCGCTGCCATCTCTGAGAGCGCAAGTTCTGAAGGAAGTTCTCGAGCTCCAAGCGTTTGTGCTTGATGTCTTTCGATCTCCTCAAAGAACCAAATCCATTATTTTCTTTGGTTTTGTTTTGTAAAACATAAGACTTGTCTTCAATCATATCAGATGAACCTACTTTGGTGATAGTGTAATTTTTGGCGATACTAGTGTCGTTGTTTTTCTTAAACACTACGTTGTGGTGCAGGCTTCCTGCGTTTTCTTCTTTCCGTTGCACCGCAAATGCAAAAACTTCATCTTTGTGCGCTGCCTGGACTTCAGAATCTGAGTTACGTAGATTATGGGTAACGTTTTCTTGACTTGCGAGGCCAGCAAACGTGGTCGGGACTCCTAAGTACTCCATCAAGTACTCCAAAGTTCCCCACAAACCAGGCTCTGTCTCGCGCGGCAAAACCGTCAAAACTGCCACTTTCCAAAGCAGGTACAGAATGGCCAAAGTCTGCAAAAGTTCCCAGATGCCGAAGAGTGCCTTAAAGAGATGGAAAAGCCAGTAGCTTCTGGGAAGTTTCGAGTAGTGATACTCCTGCTGGTAAGCGCCTGGGTAAACTTCGACGTACTTGCCCGGTTTTACTGTGGCTTCGTCATAGATGTAGACGGGTTCCGGATGCTTGTAATGGACTTCTGGTTCTTGGCTTTGCAGGTATTGGAGTCCTTCTGTGTCAGAGTAAGGGTAGATGTGCGAGAAATAAGTGTTATCCTGATGCCCATGATAGTCTGCTGATCTTGACCTTCGCGTATGATGGTTATATTGTTTCTCTAAGACAAAAGACTTCGTGGAGTTCAAGCCGCCATCTTGAGTGACACCTGGATTATCTAATAAGCCACTACCGAAATGTCGTAATAGCCTCTTTAAATCAGCCATAAATTCAGCGTTGCCATATTGTTTCTTGTTATTTACACCACTGTTTTCTTTCTTATCAGACACTGACGAAGACCACGAATCGTGTCCGGAACCGTCCTTACGATCCAAAGCTGCCGGAAAATATAAGTTGCCCGCATTGATGTGTTCAGCAATTCCAGGGGCCTGGTGTTCATTACTTGAACGTCGCTCGAAAGCACGGTCCCTCAGAAACTCTTCACACATCAGGGTTATTCCCATCGAAACCAAGCTCTTCTTGGACGGCAGCTCCAAAGGGCTAATATTCCAAGACAAATATCGGATTAGATCATCCCCCCATGCATCATATTCCTCTGGATTTAGGGGATCCGGCGGTCTATTTAGGATTTTTTTTATATTTTTCTCCCCTCTGACGGAGTCCATGAAAGTGTCGGCCATCAGGGTCACCGACTGCGCTATTTCTTCACACATGTCGGGGATTTTTTTTATGTCGGACACGGAGCGGCCAAAGCTGGGCCAACTGGACCAGCTGACGCCTGGGTACTTGTAACTGTCATGGCTCAGTGTGTCAGGGCCATAACCTGTGCGGTCATAACTGTCATGGCTGTGATCTTCAGGGTTATGATGGTCATGGCTAAAAATATTCGTGTTAATTAATATTGGGCCATAATTTTCTGTGATATTTTTATCTGAGACATAACTTCGCAGGCTGTTCACGTTAGGAAATTTATATTCTGTCGATGGATTTACAATTAAATCAGAAAGTTTATTTCTATTTTCCCAAGAACTTGTGTGTTTTTCTGAGATTTCTGCAATGCCAGAATATTTTCCCGCAATATCCGACACACCAGACAGTTCCTGTTCAGTAATATTAGAAATCCTGGCCGGACTTCCAAGCTCTGTGTAATGCCAAGAAGCCATGACGACAAAGAGCCCCAGCACCTGTAAATAAAAGACGGAATGTAAATTTGTTATTTGAAATTTTCTCAATATTATTTTCAGGAAAAGAATTTCGCTCCTTCTTTTAGTGGAAGAAATTTTTGCTTGCCGAGCAGTATTTGTTTGGTCTGATTTACATAAGAGTGGCGGCGGCAGCAGCTGCTGCTATGGCAGAAGCATCAGCTGCATTCAGTTTACTTTAACAGCGAACTAACAGTTGCATGAGCAAAACTAACGTTAACAGATTCAATTAAAACGGCAGACAGAAGTAACAGCAGCAGCTGGAGTGGTTGGGAGCCATGACGGCGGCTCTAACGCTGTCAAATGAAACCGACAAAATTTATACGCTTAGAATATCGCTACTCAAAACTGCCGGTTTCTGTGACAACGGTAACAGTGGCCACGGATACAATATAATAAAAATTACAGCAGATTAACTGCCAAGATAAACATTGGCAACAGTAATTGCAGGCTAAAGTGACAGAAGTTGTGTTAATAGCAGCCGCAGTGGCAATCTTGAATATATTTGTCAAAGTTTGTATGTGTGTTTGAAGTCTGGCCCCATAAATATATAGGCGCTGTTGGGGCGCGTATCCAGGATACTTATAGTGTCAGGATATTGTATATAGGGGCCGTTGGGGCGCGTATCCAGGATACTTATCGTGTCGGGATATTGTATATAGGGGCTCGTATCTAGGATACTTATCGTGTCAGGATATTGTATATAGGGGCTGTTGGGGCGCGTATCCAGGATACTTATCGTGTCAGGATATTGTATATAGGCGCTATTGGGGCGCGTATCCAGGATACTTATCGTGTCGGGATATTGTATATAGGCGCTATTGGGGCGCGTATCCAGGATACTTATCGTGTCGGGATATTGTATATAGGGGCTGTTGGGGCGCGTATTCAGGATACTTATCGTGTCGGAAAAGAGACTCTAAATATAGAGACGTTTATAAAGTGAGTATCCAGGATTCAGGATTAGGGTATTCGACAGAACTAAGGATGACAGGATGTAGGAAAACAGATTTTCCCGTTTCGGAGATTAACTATCTGTGGCAGCCTGTTATTTCTAGATCAGAAGAACAACAAGAGTTGAACATGAGTGACGGGAGCAACAGAAACCGCTCTAACTCAAACAGGCTGCTTGAGCAGCTGATCAAACACACGCGAAAGCGTTTGTCTTAGACCGATAAACCTGAGGGCGTTTGCAATTGCCTGTTTCCTCATTGCTGTCGTTAAGCCTTCAAAACGTTTATCTATTGAAGTATTCAGCCAGGCAAGCAAGCGATAGATTAAATCTGTGGTATTGAACAACGCATAATACGAGTATACTCGTATGGTTGCTGTGGTGCTGCTTTGGTATAAAATAATATATGGTATTGGGTTACGAGCTGCTGTGGTGTAATATATGACGCTTTATATTATGAACAAACTCATCATATGAAATATCGCTCCATATCCATCCACCAGTTATCTACTTAACCAAAAGGTGCCTTAACCACTAAAGTATTTATTAGCCTATTATAAGTGATTCTTTAGTTAACTGGACGTTACCCAGACTAAGTAGTTATTAATTACTCACTCATCTGCAGTGTACTGATGTGAACATTTGGTTACTACTTAACCGCCATCTACCTGACTAATACTTCTGTACCTTTTAATCAACTAGTTATATTGGTACCTGATCGATCGCTACTTAATCACATTGTGCCTGCATACCGATTATTAACAATTAACATAAATAAGAGTATCCAATTTCTCCATGACTAACTCCCTAATTGGCAAATTAGTGGCTAATTGAAAATAAAAATTTCCATTACCAGGCAACAACTTAATCGTAACTTAGCTAATTAAACTCAAGTAGTTACTAGACCACTATAACTAGCGCTGCAGAGTTGCCGTCACCGACAAATAAACAAAACGAAGAAAATTTCCATAAAATGTTGTTTAATTTCCATCTGATATTCGTTTTGGGCCTTTCTAATTTCCCTAGGCCAGTTTCTTGTCGGCCTCTCCATCCAGCGTTCGCTGCGGCCTTTAAATTTGCATGCAATCTCGGATGGGGCGTGCAGCGCAGGCATTGTACCAGGTGCACTTCATCAGCTGCATCAAGGGCACCAGGTGCACTTCATCAGGTGCATCATAGGCACCAGGTGCACCAGGTGCACTTCATCAGGTGCATCAAGAGCACCAGGTGCACTTCATCAGGTGCATCATAGGCACCAGGTGCATCAGGTGCACCTCATCAGGTGCATCAGGGGCACCGGGTGCACTTCATCAGGCGCATCATGGGCACCAGGTGCATCAGGTGCACTTCATCAGGTGCATCAGGGGCACAGGGTGCACTTCATCAGGCGAATCATGGGCACCAGGTGCATCAGGTGCACTTCATCAGGTGCATCAGGGGCACCGGGTGCACTTCATCAGGCGAATCATGGGCACCAGGTGCATCAGGTGCACTTCATCAGGTGCATCAGGGGCACCGGGTGCACTTCATCAGGCGAATCATGGGCACCAGGTGCATCAGGTGCACTTCATCAGGTGCATCAGGGGCACCGGGTGCACTTCATCAGGTGCATCATGGGCACCAGGTGTACTTAATGAAGTGCATCAAAGGAACCAGGTGATATCCATGAAATGCATCACTAGCACCGGGTTCACCCAATCAGCTGCATTTCATCAGATTTTCTTCATGAACTGCACTCTATCAGATGCACTCGATCAAGTGCAGGAGCTGCACCAAGACATACCGCCACGCGACATCTGAACCACCGTATACGTCGCTCCCCCAGAATACCAACGGACTTTTCCCGGCAGGTATTTATTCCTGTCCGGGTTACTATTTATTACCATGAACGCACGTCAGGTGCCTATATGTGGGTAATATATAAACCTACGGGCGGGTGCCTATATGTAGGTAATAGCAACTCACGGGCGGGTGCCTATATGTGGGTAATAGCAACCCACGGGCGGGTGCCTATATGTAGGTAATAGCAACCCACGGGCGGGTGCCTATATGTGGGTAATAGCAACCCACGGGCGGGTGCCTATATGTGGGTAATAGCACCCCACGGGTGGGTGTCTATATGTGGGTAATAGCAACCCACGGGCGGGTGCCTATATGTGGGTAATAGCAACCCACGGGCGGGTGCCTATATGTGGGTAATAGCAACCCACGGGCGGGTGCCTATATGTGGGTAATAGCAACCTACGGGCGGGTGCCTATATGTGGGTAATAGCAACCTACGGGCGGGTGTCTATATGTGAGTAATGTTGCGTATATGTTGCGTAGCAACCCACGGGCGCACGAAACTGAGTTTACGTTGGCTGGTTTGCGCAGTCGTAGCGGAATGAAAAATGTATAAAAATATATACAGATTTATTTTAGAGTTACATATAAATTATGGGAAATCAATTTTTAATACGTATACAAGTAGTGAAAGGGAGCAATTAAGGAGGGCGAAGGAGAGAGAAGCTAAGTGAAGAAGATTAAAAAAGTAGAATGAATATTATAGTGAAATGGCCGTGAATGGCAATGTGCTAACGCTATTCCTACCGTAACGGCAATGTTACAATTAATATTGAATGCATTAACGGCCATAATTGGGGCAGTGCTTTAATCATCAGTTATTTTCGGTGTGGTTAGCAAAATTCATGAGTAATTTATTCAGGTAAAGAAATTTTCGGGGTGGCAAGTTAATTGAAAGTTGAGCGCTGGGAAAGGCTTGATGAACTTTCCCCATTTACTTGAATGTTGCTGGGGAATGTAGGTGGTTGGCGAGTGGAGGGGAATGTGGGGAGTGTTGCTTCCTCATTAACATTCAGTGCAGGTTAACTGAAGGGGCTTGGCCGACGATAATTCGCTCATAATTTTCGGTTATAGTCTAAAACACTCGTACAAAATAGCTTAGAAAATAACTCTGAAGAAACTGTTGCAGAAATTGCCAATATGTGAGTATTCCTGTATTGAAGAACCAAATGCAATAATTTCATTGCTTCTTATTATTAATAATTTTCCTTTACATTAATTGGTTTTTATTTATTGACGAATGCACTCGTGATTTGACAATAATAATCCCACTATTCAAGGTGAATCATTATAATATTATCCTATATCCAATACTTTCTTTGAAATTTTTTTTCTATGTAATATTTTTGAATTTCGCTCTATCACAATTTTAATGACTATCCATTAATAAAATTAGTTACTGATATATTCTCTAAGTACCTGACAATTATTTGCAACTTTTAGCATTAAGTAACAATAAATAATGACCTAAATATCGGGAAAAGTGGCACATTTTCTTAAATACACAATTCATTTTTCGGGGCCTCTTACTGAACCTGTGTACTATATCGGTCACTGAACCTGTGTACTATATCGGTCACTGAGCCTGTGTACTATATCGGTCACTGAACCTGTGTACTATATCGGTCACTGAACCTGTGTACTATATCGGTCACTGAACCTGTGTACTATATCGGTCACTGAACCTGTGTACTATATCGGTTTCATAGAATGATATATATTATATAGTGAAATAAGGAGTTAGTTGAGGCACCTTTGGTGCGCTGAGGTATTAAATGCGCTGCGCATGGTATCAGTGATACATGCTCGACCTTGTCAGAATAAGATACTATAACTTCGATCCAAAAAATTTTTGTACATAATATACCACCTTAGTATGACTAATATAAGATTATATTAAACTGATTCGGAATCGGCGATCCGCGCAATCGTTTTCATTCAACTCCATGAGTATCAGTGATACGCGATGTGATTTCAGTCATCACTCCACGAGTATCAGTGATACGCATATAAATCATGATAGAAATGATCAGATTATCGTCAAAGATAAATATGCATCATGGCAATTCTCTCCGGAATGGTATTTGAAGAAAACTAATAATATATGTCAACATTATTCATTATTGAAGATATCGACATCGTATTCGTGATGCGCACCATCTTCTACGCACCATCGTTAACGCACGAGTGCACTGGCCGGTCCACTCAGTTGCTGTCAAACCGGTTGCACATGACCGGTAAATTAGCTTTCCCTGCCAGCCTGAAATTACAGGTTATGCTGTTGTTTGTGCTGTTGGGCTTCTGGTGCTGATGATGTTATGTATTGTCAACTTGCTGCTTTCACCGATAATACCAATAATAAATTGTATAAGTTGCAAGAGGTAGGCAGTAGCGTGCTACATTTAGCGGCCGCTACTAGCGGCAGCTACATTTTCAGTAGCGGTAGTGGTGCTACATTTAAGTAATTGTAGCGGTCGGTAGCGCCCGCTACGTTTCAAAGTAGCGCTGCCCAGCTCTGTAAGTTGCATAAGTTTTCGGCAGCCTACCCAGAACGAGCGTAGCGTTTGCGATCATCTGCCGTTTGCCCAGAGCTTAACTTCAGCGGTTAAAAAACATCAGTTTCAGTTTCGAACATGTATCAATTTCCTCAAAGTTAGGCAAGTTAGGTCGATATTGTTCATTGAAATGCCAATGGGCTTGTACGTATTCGATTAGCAATTGTATATTTATGATTTTCGTCAGGTGGTTAAAAGCTTTAAAATTACCCCCCAAAACACCTCATCTCTTCCTTCTCCCCAAAACTTCACAGCACGTCTCATCCTAGTTACGACAAATACCCCTTGTAAAAAATATCATGGGACCGTAATTTCAACGAACTGATGACTTTCAATTACAAAATTTCATTTGTTGCCCTAAATTGGTTTAATTGTTACCCTAACTTTCCGTAATTATTACCATGATTAGTGTTAATTGATACCTGAATTGTGGTAATGGTTACCCTGAAATACAGTAATTATTACACAGAAATATGTGAATTGTTACAATAAATTTAAGGAACTTTCTTGATAAAACTACCGACTAAATTTCAACAAAATAATTCAATGTAGCCGTTGGTATCAATGAATGATTATAGTCCTTGTCTTTCTTCTAAAATTACCCCATTCAGCCTTGTACCCTAGACTCTATGTCCCCATTACTCCATATCTTCCCCCAGCAGTCCTAGGGCAATACGCTCATAATTTCCACGCGCTGGGGTAAGTTCGGCCGCCGGCTGGGAAGCCTGGCACTAAATTCCGGAATTTCTAATTTCGGGCGCTCGGGTCCCCGATTTTGAGAGAAGAGGAGGGAGCGGTGGGTAAGATGGGGGTATTATTTATGGGCCTTGAGGCTCTTTTCTGGATAGAGGGTCCTTTGGAATGGGTAAGAGGCCATCCAGGCCACAAATTCTACAACACCGCGGGTCCCACAACACCGCGGGTCTCACAACACCGCGGGTCTCACAACACCGCGGGTCCCACAACACTGCAGTACTCGGATTTCGAATATCCGCCCAATTAGCTATCTCATTAAGTAGCAATTTGCACGTCCTGATTAAAATGCTCCCCACATTAAAAAACTCTCATTAAAATCTAAAGAGGGAGTACAACTTGCTAACGACCATCATGTATGACATCACTACAGCAACAATGTCTCATAAGAGATCCGTTTAGTCTTTCTCATTAGAGATCCGTTTAGTCTTATGTCGCGTTAGAGATCTCTTTATCCCTAACTCTCATTAGAGATCTCTTTAGCCCTATGTCTCATTAGAGATCTCTTTAGCTTTATGTCTCATTAGAGATCTCTTTAGCCCTATGTCTCATTAGAGATCTCTTTAGCCCTATGTATCATTAGAGATCTCTTTAGCCCAAAGTCTCATTAGAGATCTCTTTAGCCCTATGTCTCATTAGAGATCTTTTTAGCCCTATGTCTCATTAGAGATCTCTATGTCTCAAGAGATTACATTTCATAATCCGCAAGAAAAGCTCACAGATTTATTTTAGTTCCAAATATCTTCGTCTGATTGATCACCTTATAAAACAATAATATTCCCACCAAATAAATTGTATTATTATTCTAAACATTCTTATCTACTCAATGATCATAAGTTCCTCAAAGCTTTTAACTTTCAGTCACTTCGAACATGGAACAAATTTGTCCTTATTTAGGCCCTTAATTAAAAGGCGCCAGTGAACAGTGAAACCCCATGCAGAGGCCCTCATAAATCATACAAATCATAAAACCACATTTCTTACCAGACTTTACACGCTCAAAAGCTAAATACCTTTTCCAACACAAGGAAAACAATGCAAAAATAAACTTCATGAGAACAAACATTCAAGGACTGCATTAATTCGGTATACAGCTGCAATTTTTCAGGCTGTTTACACATGTAAATAGCCGCGACGATGCCCTGGAATTGAGTGGCTAATATACAGCTGCATTTAGCGCCTCGACAGATTTACGGCAGCTTTATTGACAGCGCAGATGTAGTGAGGTGTCTACCGCTGCACGCATGCTACAGCTATATAGGCAGAACAGCTGTTGAAGCAGAACAGCTGTATAGGCAGAACAGCTGTATTGGCAGAACAGCTGTATAGGCAGAACAGCTGTATATTCAGAACAGCTTTAAAGGCAGAACAGCTGTATAGGCAGAACAGCTGTATAGGCAGAACAGCTGTATAGGCAGAACAGCTGTATAGGCAGAACAGCTGTATATGCAGTACAGCTGTATATGCAGTACAGCTGTATATGCAGTACAGCTGTATATGCAGTACAGCTGTATATGCAGTACAGCTGTATATGCAGTACAGCTGTATAGGCAGAGCAGCTGTATAGGCAGAACAGCTGTATATGCAGTACAGCTGTATAATCAGAGCAGCTGTATAGGTAGAACAGCTGTTGAGGCAGAACAGCTGTATGGTCATACCATCTGTATGGTCCTAACAGCTGTATGGTCATAACAGCTGTATGGTCATAACAGCTGTATGGTCCGAACAGCTGTATAGGCAGAACAGCTGTATAGCCAGAACAGCTGTATAGGCAGAACACTTGTACAACAACAACAGCTGGAAATGCAGGGCATCTGTACTACCACAACAGTTGTTTGTGCAAAACAACTGTACGGTGGTAGCTGCTGTGCTACGCGTCTGTTGTACAAGCTTTGCGGCAGGGCAGGAATATGACTATAGCAGCAATACAGGCTGTTTTTCTGTACATTTTCCGAAATAAATCATAATAAAAATTTATAGCATAGGTCAATTAGCTGACTTGATTAGCGTTCACGTTCTACTGGTTGCTGGATCATTTTTGCTCTTATGAGAACAGGCATAGAAATAATTTAATATGGTCTAATTTATACAGTATTTTAAATATTATTATTACTAACAATAATGCTTATAACAAAGTTAAAAGAACGGAAAGTAAGAACGTCAGACTGTCGCAACACTTGCTGACGCCAGCGCTATTGCTGCGTGACGTATACGACGTATGGACGTATGATATATTTGAAACGTTTTTAAAATACTGAATACGCATAATTAATGCTGTTTTGCTTTTTTCACTATGAGGCTAATATTACTTCAGTAATTCATCTTATAAAAAGAGCAAATGCCTTGAAAGCTAAAAAAATTCATCCTCTATCATATACAGGGACATCTAATAAAAAATAGGTAAAGTTCTAGAATTTGATATAGATAAATTTGTTTATAATTTTATTTTTGCAATAAATAACTGAAGTAGTTAGTAATTATAATTACAGAGATTGAGATAATTGTGGGGTATGAATATAAGATGCATCACTCAAAAAGTTAATGGATAATATTGTTCAAATACCGGCACGCTTTCTCAGCCACGGTACGAGCACGGAGCGGATGTGGCAGCGATACGCCCTTTTGCTGCGCCAAACTAGGTCAGGTTGACCTACATAATTCAAAAAGTGCATGGATTTTTGGACAAAATCTTACTAATTTTTCACTCACCAGAACGCACAACTTCGGTCGCATCTCGCAGTTCCTGCACTCAGTTTCTTGGCTTATTTCCTCAGCAACAAATGTATGTTGAATTCATAGATGAATTAATACATAGTTGAATTTTCAGGATCACTTGGGAAAATTTTTTTGCTTGGGACCAGAAGTTGCTGTACAGTTTAAGCTATAATTGAATGCAGTAGAGGAAACAATTTGGTCTGCAGAAGCAAAAAAACGAAATAGTGATATAATGAACGATCACAATTAAACAGTGAACGATTACTATGAAACAATGAACAAACACAATGAAACAATGAACGATTACTATGAAACAATGAACAAACACAATGAAACCTGTCTCTTATACACATCTAGATGTGTATAAGAGACAGACAATGAACAAATACAATGAAACAATGAACGATCACAGTGAAACAATGAACGATCACAATGAAACAATGAACGATCACAATGAAACAATGAACGATCACAGTGAAACAATGAACGATCACAATGAAACAATGAACGATCACAGTGAAACAATGAACAAATACAATGAAACAATGAACGATCACAGTGAAACAATGAACGATCACAATGAAACAAAGAAATACAATGAAACAATGAACGATCACAATGAAACAATAAAGAGACGCTTGCTTATGTTCACAGCCTAATTCATTTGGATTAAATTATGATGATTTATGCAGCGTCAGGCCTTAAATTGAAATGGAACGATTTTAGTGGGAATTTTGTGCAGCAAAATGTAAAGTATTTTTCAGATAGAAATCATATCAAGTTTTCAGAAGCTTCAATGTTGAGGTTCGAAAATAGTTTTATGCGTTACGTGAGGAATTCATTATTCATTTATATCAAAGCAATAATTTGCTCCTTCAACATGTTATAAATTCAACTGGTATTCATTTAAAATGAAATGAAAATCCACCACTCATATTTTTCTTGCTTTGATTATTCATTCTGGAAATTATTTTATTCAGTATAACAAGGGCACAAACAAGAAAAAATAATGTAATGGAATTATTTTTTAATAAGAAATGAGGCGAAAAAACGATTCATGTCACACCAACTCCAACGTTCAGTGGAGAATTTATCCATAAAAATCGCAGCTTTAACGTTAATCCTGATGGATTCGGGGAAAGACTCACATTTAAATTGCTATTTCCTGCTGAAACTTCGAGTTCTAAAGACAAATTTACATAATATGCACATTGCTTGAGCTTGTATCATCAATCTGCTAAATCGCATGCTTGCCAAGAATTTAGTACAATAAAGGAAAACACTAGGTGTGATGAATTTCATACACATTTTTTGGCTTTTAGATTGATTTAAGAATAATTTTACTTAACAGCTCAGAAATCGGAAATAATAAAATCGACGCATCTTGCTAATATTAGTCGTATCACCAAATCACAATGACACTTCAATCAAGGTTACCCTGAGACACCACAATCGTAATGACCTAACGAACGGACTATGTTCAGTTTCTTAATTCGTACGACAACCACCACAAGTAATAGCAAGCTAAGGGGTTTATTCCTCCAAATAATTAGAGTTTATTCACATTCATTAACAAGATAGTGTTGAAACGAAACTTTGTTTATCGTGTTTGGGTCAGCATCACAAAGAAAAACTTGAGAACTTAAGTTTCAAGAAAATTATCAGTCGACAAGTTCACTAGGAAGCAACCAGCATGTCGACTAATATGTAGCCACAACGAATTTATTAGGTGCCACCACTTCATTATTCAAAGTGAACACCACATCCGTGTTTGAAGTAACTACAGGACCTACTTGCTTCACTCCACCGCCAAGCCTCATGGTCATCATAAATTTACGACTAGTTTAATTCACGATCCACAAAACTATCAAAAACTCGCTGAGTCACCAAAATGTCAATAAAGATAGCGCGATAATTTATTCACGATAATCTAAAAACTTATCACAATCTAATTAGAGCACCACGCCTTTAATAACCATCAAAAAGTCGTTTAAACGATACTATTTAGATAACCATTACGAGGCAGTTTATCCATCTCGATCTATAAACCATTAAATAGCTTATTAATCACCCTAACTTCAAGAGATAGTTTATCTGGCACGGTCATGATAATATTTTCCATCTAATACATTAAGTACGATCTATGAACATTTTTCATGGGGTTATTATACGAACCTACACAAGTTCCATGTACCAATAATCCCCACCACTAAGTCATTTAATCACCAATACATTGTAATTTTGAACCCCTCACTAGGTCATTTACCCACTCTGATTCCAATAACTACTGGAAGGTCATTTACGCACCACAACCACACCCCGGACCAAATTCTTAAGAGGCCGGGAAAGCACTGGGACTGGAGTCGGCAGCGGCGAGCGGGTAACCGCTTTCCTTGGTCCCGCCCACCGCCGACTGCCAGACGCGCGGTTCTGCTGCAGCGCCCACGTGACCGCATGTAAATTTAAGAGAGTTTCGCAGGGGACACACGTATGCTTGGAACGTGTCGGGAACCCGAATAAGGAGCAGAGCTGACTAGGAAAGTAGGTTACATTTATGCATTTGGTATTAAGAGATCCATTTACCGATTTAGTTGTGATTCTGAATTTAGTTGTTATCTGAATTGTGGATAACATTAAGTAGTCATGGACAATTGAATGATTTCCACAAGTGAAGCTTGATGATTATCAATTTAATCAAATTAGCTGATCCGACGCTGTTAATAAATCTGTATTGTTAATCTTTCGTAGCAGATTAGCACAGGTAAAAACATGACCACAGGGTAACAGATTAACCTGGTTAGCAGGCTCGTACTAAAATTTAATTGTGTGATAGATGACTAATCATTGTTCGTATCGTATTTACGTTCGGGAATTGCAGTTATTTGGGGATTTTTTGGACTTAACAATACAATAATTAATTAACAATACAATAATAATTAACTAACAAAAATTCTCCGCTTTCATCTAAGTTCAACAAAATTTCCTACTTGCTGCACGAACCAACTCGGACGGTGTTTAAAGTCCATCCAAAGTTTTTTATTGGCTATTAAAGTTGAAGCACAATCGCGGAATAGAATGGCCCTCTCTTTTGAAGAAACTTAAATGGCATCACTTCTCTAATAGGATAATTTACTACGAGTAATATTTAGATATTACAGAATTGTCAATTTCTACAGAATTTATCATTCGACAGAACATCAATGAACTTTACTGTAACCTAGATTTTTCAAATTCTGAGCAACCCTGCCAAAATCCATCCGTATTTAAGCCTTGTTGAGGAAAATCCTGATCTTGCTGCATATACGCGACCAGACGTGTCGATAAGTTGCCGTGGTATTCAGGATAAAAATAATTATCGAAGGATGAAGACCACGATATTGATGTAAGACCTTGTACAATTTTGTGCAATGAATGAGTATCTCGCTTTATTAAATAAAATTAATCGTGCTACTTTCTAAACTAAATTAATTGTAATTTACTATAGACCCGCTCGAAGCTTTTTTAAAATAAAAGATTGGCCATCCGGTTTGAGCGCCGTCTAAACAGCGTGGCAAGTTAACTGAGCAATACAGGTTAGCTAGAGGTTAATGTTTAAGTTAAGGTTAAGTAAGGGTTGAATGAAAACTCGGCAAGGCAGGTTAACTTCGCGATGCAGGTTACACAGGTATTTCAGGTTAACCGTTGAGGATCGTCTACCTAACGTGATAGGTTAACTTGGTGTTGCAGGTTAACCAGTTTCTTTTTACAAAGAAACTTGTCTTTATACGGCATTGGAAGGAGACTGCACTCTTGAAAAGCGCGTAGGTCGTAGAGTATGAAAGTATATATTATATCTGCCTTTGAAAAGCATTACAAAGAACGTAGAGTATGAAGAAGATATGGTGGTATCTAAGACCACCCTACTCTCGTAGAGTGATCTTCCTCTACATCCTCTATAACCCACTCGTATAAAAATTATTTTCATTTAAAAAATTAGCAACATGAACAACGATATACTGGGTAACGGGACTCACGAATCTCATGGATTATCTGTCTTAATAATAGCCGCATTAATCGGCTATTATTTGCATAATGTAGTTAGTATTCATTTTTTAAGTTCAAATGGTGGCAAAAATTGCATTTCAGGTGAACCGCTAAACAGATGCGGAGCGACGCTGACCTATAGTCCCCGGAACGCAACCTGCGCGTCATTCTCGCTTGTCATGTACAGACTTTCCAGTGAGCGAAATGTCCAGTGATCCAGTTCTCGGAATTTCTGGATGACACATATTTGTCCAGGCGAAATATAGTTAGTGGGATATCGAGCTGACCAGTTAGAGGAATATACTGACGGTTCAGCTAGTGGAATGTCCCGGCCGATCCAGGTAGTGGAATGTACTGACGGTTCAGCTAGTGGAATGCCCCGTCCGATCCAGTTAGTGGAATGTACTGACGGTACAGCTAGTGGAATGTCCCGCCCGTTCCAGGTAGTGGAATGTACTGACGGTTCAGCTTGTGGAATGTCCAGCCCGATCCAGGTAGTGAAATTTACTGACGGTTCAGCTAGTGGAATGTCCCGCCCGATCCAGGTAGTGGAATGTGGAATATCCGAGTATCCAGTAAGTGGAATATCCTGGCGATCCAGCTAATAGAATGTCGAGGAGAATGTTCAGTTTCTGAAATATAGTAGCGTTCCAGAAATGTAAATAAAATCAGGATCAAATTAAGATATTTTAGCGATAATTCAGCACGTACAGTGAATGCATGACGCAGGCTTACTAGCTGCCTTTCGTCAGCTGCGCACGCCGAAGAAAGTAGCATACGTCACTGGCGTTGCGTATAGGTCGACTGCAGGCGTGCATTTTACGCATTTTAAGCTAACGCGCGTTAGAAGCTTCAAAATAATTACACGCGGTTGTACGCATCAACCGGGGCCCGTGGGAGACTTCACTGTGACATTCACTGCGACATTCACTGTGACACATTCAGTGTGACATTCAGTGTCGCATTCACTGTGACATTCGCTGTGACATTCACTGTGACATTCAGTGTGACATTCACTGTGACATTCAGTGTGGCATTCACTGTGACATTCACTACGACCTTCACTGCGACATTCACTGTGACATTCACTGTGAGATTCACTGCGACAATCACTGTGACATTCATTGCGACATTCACTGCGACATTCACTGTGACATTCAGGCAGCAATACAGTGTCGCATTCACTGTGACATTCACTGGGACATTCACTGTGACATTCAGTGTGGCATTCACTGTGACATTCACTGTGACATTCACTGTGACATTCAGTGTGGCATTCACTTCGACATTCACTGTGACCTTCACTGTGACATTCACTGTGACATTAACTGCAACATTCAGTGTGGCATTCACTGTGACATTCACTGTGACATTCACTGTGACATTCACTGTGACATTCATTGTGACATTCACTGTGTTGTGATCGGCATACCGTATGATAATTGTTTGTTTAGTTGAATCTTTATTTATCTCTGTTATTCTGCACTTATGAAATTTTCTAAGCCCATCTTTAATTTTATTTATTCTTAACGTATTTTTCTCAATTATTAGTTAGACTTAAGAACTGAAAAAATGGTTCTTTGGAGAACGAGTCGTCCGTAGTTAGGGAGAATTTTTTATACGAGTTAGTGAGTTAGTGGAAGCCGTTGGTGAAAGTCGCATGTACACAGTGTAAAGTCTATGAATTTAACGGCGAAAATTACTGTCTTGTTTTTATCCTCCGCAACAAAGTTAGTGTACTGCCGAACTAGACGATCACATAAGGCTTTTATGAAGTGGTAGCCACGTATAGACTGCGGCGACGAGGCCCACTTCATAAAAGCCTTGTGTGATCGTCTAGTTCGGTAGTACACTTTGTTGCGGAGGATAAAAACAAGACAGTAATTTTCGCCGTAAAATTAATAGACTTTACACTGTGTACATGCGACTTTCACCAGCGGCTTCCACTAACTCACTAACTCGTATAGAAAATTCTCCCTAACTACGGACGCGTCGTTCTCCAAAGAACCATTTTTTCAGTTCTTAAGTCTAACTAATAATTGAGAAAAATACGTTAAGATAAATAAAATTAAAGATGGGGGTTAGAAAATTTCATAAGTGCAGAATAACAGAGATAAATAAAGATTCAACTAAACAAACAATTATCATACGGTATGCCGATCACAACAACTGTGACATTCACTGCGGCATTCACTGTGACATTCATTGCGACATTCACTGTGACATTCAGTGCGACATTCACTGCGACATTCACTGTGACATTCAGTTCGACATTCACTGTGACATTCAGTGTGACATTCACTGCGACATTCACTGCAACATTCACTGTGACATTCATTGCGACATTCACTGTGACATTCAGTTCGACATTCACTGTGACATTCAGTGTGGCATTCACTGCGACATTCACTGTGACATTCAGTGTGGTCGTCACTGTGACATTCACTGCGACATTCACTGTGACATTGACTGCGACATTCACTGTGACATTCGATGTAACATTCACTGTGACACTCACTGCGACATTCATTAGGACATTCACTAGGACATTCATTATGACATTCACTGTGGCATTCGTTGTGATATTCACTGGGACATTCACTATTACATTCACTGTTACATTTACTGTGACATTTAGTGTGACATTCACTGTGACATGCATGATGCCTACTGTGCGGTTTTTTGTAGAATTAACTATCGTCGTAGAGTTCGCTAATTGTAAACAGTCCACAATCATCGTCGAACATAGCTTCTTGTATGTATGCTCACGGTAGGAAGTTACTAGGGCAGCCGTTTGAAACGATTCAACAAAATTGTTGATATAGTGAGCTGGTACAGAGGGATTGATACATCAACGTATAAATTTGTTTATATATTTTAGCATAAAATAATATTATTTTTTGGGATGGGTACAGCTCCATTTACGAGACGTCCATAGCCATGCAAAAATTACGCGCTCGCCCTATTAGTGCTGTTTGACATTTTCTTGACGCCATTAATGTTTATAATTCATTCAATAAAACTTCATCTAACTCGATGTTAAGATATTGCCGTCCCAACTTCGCGCGCTTCTATTGCATCGACTAAATACTCTCAAGATTTTTCATAATCCTTCAATATTAAACAACTTCAATTTTAAAAGCTTATTGAACAGTCGTGCCAGTGAAGAAATGCAATGCTAAGCAATGAAGGCAGCAAGCAATGAAGGCAGCAAGCAATGAAGGCAGCAAGCAATGAAGGCAGCAAGCAATGAAGGCAGCAAGTAATGAAGGCAGCAAGCAATGAAGGCAGCAAGCAGTGAAGGCAGCAAGCAGTGAAGGCAGCAAGCAGTGAAGGCAGAAAGCAATGAAGGCAGTAAGCAGTGAAGGCAGCAAGCAATGAAGGCAGAAAGCAATGAAGGCAGCAAGCAATGAAGGCAGCAAGCAATGAAGGCAGTAAGCAGTGAAGGCAGCAAGCAATGAAGGTAGCAAGCAATGAAGGCAGCAAGCAATGGAGGCAGCAAGCAATGAAGGCAGCAAGCAATGAAGGCAGTCACACCACTCAGGATTTTACCGCTGGTCCTAGGAGTCAGGCTGCAGTCAGCTTTCTACACCAGCTTTGTTCTGACTAAAACATGACCCAGGCATTCCATTTTCTTTAATATAAAACACTAATAGTTAATCTGAGGTATAATCATAATATTTACGAGTCCTACCACAATCAATTATTAGATAATATACAATTACAACTACTGAACGTTCTGTGGAACTTACTTCTATCATTCATCATTTCGTTTTCTGTTGTGCGGGAAAAAACTTTGTTTAGTGGGTAACTGAAATATTTTCTCATAATATAATTGCTCCCGTGTATCCTGTTTCACCTGCAACCTGTTTAGCGCCCTAGCGCTTAAGTCACTTGTTTGTTATGCTCGCTGTATCCTCACTAAAATGAACTCGAAATGAAATGTTAACATAATGCTAGATTGATTAATGTTATCATCGCCAAAGTAAACAAACCAATAATTTCATTATAACATTGGAAAAATAAAATGATGTAGAATACGCAGATACATCGTTGAAACATCTTTCATATTTTTTGTGACTTCCGCTTATAGTTGGCTTCAAACGCGGCTATTTTAAAACCAAGGTGTTCAAAGAACTATTGGAAAATCCTCTATATAAATCTTAGTTTCATCGGTTTATATGGAGAGCACATCTCTCCCGCTTTCTAGTGGAGTCCTTCCCTCACTTTCACTACCGCACCAACTTTCACCTCCGACTTCAGGTGCACCGGCCACTCAACGGCGACCCGAACTTCCGGTCAAATAAATGAACGCCGCCACCAACTTTAGGGTGAGTGTAACTACCGATCGCCGTCATGATGCACGTTATGATGGGCTTTATTGAGCCCCGCCCGCAGGAGCCTAACTACACATCGGTCCTATTGAGCCCAGTTTGAGAAGACACCATTAAACCATACCTCACGAGGTCTCATTGAACCCTACCTCACACTAGCTAGCTGTGTATTGAACACCATCACACAGACCAAATTAAACACCACCTCTCACAGGCCCCATTCACACAGACCCATTGAACCCCATTGAACCTACCCTTAAACTCACCCCATTGAACCCACTTTCACGAGGCCCCCATTAAGCCCAATCTCAAGGGGCCTGATTGCACCCCACCTCACAAAGCCCCATTGAGCCCTACTTCACAAGGCCCCATTGAATCCCACCGCTCAAAGGCCCCATCGAACCCCACCACACGCAGGCCCCATTGAAACCTCCTTAAGCCCATCTCGGTGACACACTTTAACGAGTCTACTTTGTCGGCCACCAAACATGCCATCAGGCATCGATCTCCGATACCTGCATCATTGCTGACGCTCCTAACTCTGTAACATGACACTCTTCACTCTGTTACATCATGCCCATCACTCTGGACTGTGATGCCCTCACTCTGGAATGTGATGTCCTCACTCTGAAATGTAATGCCCATTACTCAGTTACGCTGTAACGCCATCAAGCGTCTGGACCAAGTTTCCGAGTAATGCGCGCTGCCGCTGAGACGTACGAAATTTCAGTGCCGCTGAGTCCCACGTGGCCCCGTCCCATGTTTTGCAGGAGGCCGCCGTCCCATGTTTTGCAGGAGGCCGCCGTCCCATGTTTTGCAGGAGGCCGCCGTCCCATGTTTTGCAGGAGGCCGCTGTCCCGCCCGGCTTATTTGCATGCAAATTTATGTCCTTTCTTTGAGGCGAGAAAAATGATCCTCATATCGCGGCGACGCAGGAATTCCAGCGACATTTGTCGACTTTAGGCGCCTTGGTAATGGCGGCGCAGGAGCGGTTCAAGGGCTCAGGTCCTTGCTTCATGATGCTCGTGTCCTTAGGATTGATGTCCCGACGACTAGAGTCCTTAGTCTTCGAGACAAATATTCTTGGAGGCATAGCGACTGTCCTCGAAGTTCTTAGGACTTGAGTCCATAAGGTTTTTAGGACGCTTAAGGGGAGCATGGCGGTCAAATAAAACTTTTTTTTATTTACGGACGGATCATTATGAAGCTTGGTACACTTATGTAAAATATAAATCAATGATTTTTTGTTCATGTAAATTTTTCGAGAAAAATTAAAGAAAATGTAAAATTCATAGAAAACGGCAAACAGTAGTAGTAAAGCGTCTAGCGTAAGAGTATGATTAAACAGATCGAGGATCTGGTCTCAGTGTTTGTTGATATTGATATCCGATAAGCGAAACAGTAAGAAACAGAGCAGAGAAACAGTGAAAAAGCAAAACAAACAGTAAACAAAGGAGCAGCTGCATCAAATAACAGTAGCAGTAGTAGCAGCAGGTAACAGCAAGAGCTGCAAGGAACAGCAGTAAGAACAAGTAAAAACATTAACAGCCGCAAGTAACAGCAGCAACAGTATCAATTAAGTACTGCCAGAATTGGTCAGTATTGGTCAGTATTGGCCAGTATTGGCCTGTATCGGTGAGTATTGGCCAGCATCGGTATGTATTGGCCAGTATTGGCCAGTATCGGTCAGTATTGGCCAGTATCGGTAAGTATTGGCCAGTATTGGCCTGTATCGGTAGGTATTGGCCAGTATTGGCCGGTACTAGTCTTCTCTCTCTCGCCCGCTCGTTCATCACGCCTTCGTGTATCATAATTCAGGAGCGTCCGTTATTATCGCTCAGAGCTTTAGACATGCCCACCGCAAGACATGCCCACCGTAAGACATGCCCACCGTAAGACATGCCCACCGTAAGACATGCCCACCGTAAGACATGCCCACCGTAAGCAATGTCCGCCGTAAGACACGCCCACCGTAAGACATGCCCACCGTAAGACATGCCCACCAGAAGACATGCACACCGTAAGACATGGCCACCGTAAGACATGCCCGCCAGAAGACATGCACACCGTAAGACATGACGACCGAAAGACATGCCCACCGTAAGACAGGCACACCGCAAAACATGCCCAGCGTAAGACATGCGTAAGTTGCAGCCAATATTAGCCAATTATTTAAGGAGCCAATAATGGCTGCGGCGCAGTTACACTCAATATTTCAAGTCACTTAGTCGGCGTCAGTGGAATATATTGGCGGCTGATGAGTGGCCGGTCGTTGCGCGCCCATAATGACGTCATCGGCTGGTTTGTATTGAAATTAATGCTATGAGGTATGTGGGGCGTATAGTGTGTGTGCATAAATGGAAGAAAAAAGTGGAATTGAGGTATGAGGTGTATGCGTAATGATGAAAATATCACATTCTGTTTACAAAAGAATCGTTTCTCCATCTATATGCAACCGACACGCCTGCTCAGAGCTCATGTTGGCCGAAAAATATTCGCATTTGCACGAGTCTCGGCTCACGAAATTTTGCAAGAATTTGCGTTTGTGCTTCAGAAGGAATCCTACAGCGTACAGGACCTCAGTTTTCCAGTTGTTAACGAAGATGACAGTCTGGCATGATGGCGTGAGAACTCACGTTAGCGTCACGCACGCTCCAACTCCGGTATAGGAACACAAATATGTCATCTAATATGCAACATATTTATGTAGTTCGCTTTGGCGAATATTAATTCATATCACTTTACGTGTGTTGAATCAAAATAAGCAATTTCAGCCGAAAAGCATTCAAAGTAAGTCAAGATTCAGAATGGACGTTACTATTGAGATACCATTGAACTCCAAACATTTCTGTGCTAGTTATTAGTCACAATCATTTTTCTAGATTTCTGAATTAGATAATTACAACTCTTATTTGTTTCAATTATTTCTCAAGGTTTCTGAACTAGTTAATGTGAATATATCTTACTTCCAAAGATTTCCCCACATTTCTAGAGTAGTTAATTAAAACCCATCTAAGCTAAAATTATTACCCACTATTACTAGTGTTGTGGGCCGCCTCGACGCACTCGTAACAGATTGTTGTGTTACTTCGGTAGAGCACATTTGTTGGGATTGTTTTTTCTGGCTCTGACATAAGAAATTACTGAAGGTTGAATAAAAATGTTACTGACTATATATGTTTTATTTCTCTGTCTCGAAAGCTACTATAGCAGGAAATGATAGTAGAGTTTAGTTTGATATTAATATTTAATAAACCGAAGGATATCATATACATTTAGGAGTTAACATCGACAATGAGTTGAAATTTTCTAAGCATATTGAAGGTCAAGTTAATAAAGCCAATAAACGACTTGGACTGATCAGACGCTCTTTCGAGTTCCTAGATTTAGAAACGATGAAGCTGTTGTTTGTTGCTGTCGTGCGCTCGAACCTGGAGTTTGGAAACGTCGTATGGTCACCGAAATTTGAAAAGGACAGAAATTTAATAGAGAGTGTTCAAAGACGCGCAACAAGAATAGTTCCGGGCTTGAAAGGCAAGTCCTATGAGGAAAGATTAAAGATTATGAAGCTTCCAAGCCTCAGTTATTGACGTCTGCGTGGGGACCTCATTGAAGTATACAAGTATACTCATGATTTATACGAGGTCCCAGAAGGATTACTAGAATTTGAAACAAGAACCAACACCAGAGGCCACGGCTATAAACTAAAAAAACAGCGTTGGAACACATCCATGCGACAACATTTCTTCTCGCTTCGAGTCACCGACATGTGGAACAGCCTCCCTGATAGCATCGTTGACGCTCCGAGTATGAACATCTTCAAAAACAGACTAGACGAAGTTAATCGTCAGTTATGGAAAGATCGGGTTCCAAAGGCCGGATCCCTTGTGAATCAAGTCACGAAAAGTTCAAGAATCGGCAACAGGCCATGGGCCTATTTCTTCAACGCCGACACTTCTATTCTATTCTATTCTATTCTATTCATGCATACAGGCTCCAGCGTAACGTCGCTGAGCGTCAGCTAACGAGGCAACATCGAACCAACAGAATGAAATTCCGGCAATACATTAGCTTATATTCATAACAATAGTACAATAAAATAGTATTGTTACATCATTGACACATTTATTGTAGCCCCAAATTGCATTATGTCGCCATAACCATATCTATGTTTGAGAGCACGCACGAATAGTGATTCCGGAATTACGACCGGGAGCTTACTTCACTGCATCACGCATATACGAACGAAATGTATCACTTTAGCTATACAGGACTAGGTGATTATATCAAATATTATATTTCCATTCTCTTACGGACTAGATTGTTATTAGAAGACATTGTACCTGTGATAATTTCCAGCCGTATATGGAACTCGTGAACTACCTTAAATTTCCCTTTAAAATTTATTCCATCATTTCTGGACTAGTTATTTATACCCCATTTAGCTTGAGTCATTCCCACCTACAAATTCATGCTGGTCATGAAAATTGCATCGGGGTATGCGTGATATTTCGCGGGGTATTAGGTTGGAATTTTTTTCTCTTAAACTCGATATTTATTTAGCCGCCCGATTTCAAAAGGCATGTCAGCTTTCATCGCTTCCGCGTCAAAAAAAAAAAAAAAAAAAAAAAAATTTTTTCTCGCTCAAATTCTCTCAAATTCGGGCCGGGTGTTCGACGGTCGCGAATTATTTGTGGTTTATATCCGTGATAATTTAATTAGTTATGATTTAGTTCCGTGATAATTGCGATAATTATCGCGATAATAATCCACTGCGAGGCGTTGTGATAGAGAAGTTCGCGGCGGCGTAGCGCCGAGCATCTAATTATCGTAGCATTAAATTACACTATCAAAGTGCGGCAAAATCAGACAACTATTATAAGATACTAGTTACGTCATAGCTATAATCACTATTATTAATTATTATAACATACTTATAATGATTAGTATTGCTACTGAAGCTGTTGACGAAATGAATGAATATACTTTATCAGAAGAGGAATCATTAAAAAATATATACATTTAATTTAATGTTTTATTTATTATGTTATATAACCGGAGAAAAATTATTGAAAATGATACAAAAAGTTATTTTGATAATTATAATAATATTAGAAATTTAACATAGTACAAAATTATTTAAATAATTTAAATCTAATCGAATTTAGATAGAATTCGACATTTATAATAATTCAAGCACGCAAACCAAAGATCTATTCGAGTAGCCATGATATTCATGTAAAAACTGTACTCATAATCTCCTATTTTAATTGGATAATAAATAAACGAATCAATAATTTTTAATTCCAAAAAAGTGTTTCCAAAAAAAAAAAAGCATTTCCATACAAGCATTCACACCGTGGGCTTGACAGGTGTTTGCACGGCTGGTGTGAATACTGCTATAGAAATGCATTAAAAGAATATTGGACTGGACCGTTATTAGCACGTGTCCGGCTTTATTGGACGGCAATTTAAGGGCACACTATGCTAATTGCTACGCTAACCGCGTCTCCCTTTCTGCAGGCGTCGGAACGCTTATTTAGCAACACGCACCACACGTCATCATTTCTATGCATACAACACGCACCACACACCACATTCTATCATTTCAATGCACACAACACTCACCACACACCACACGTCATCATTTCAATGCATACAACACGCACCACACACCACACGTCATCATTTCAATGCATACAACACTCATCACACACCACATTCTATCATTTCAATGCATACAACACTCACCACACACCACACGTCATCATTTCAATGCATACAACACGCACCACACACCACACGTCATCATTTCAATGCATACAACACGTACCACACACACCACATACACACCACACGTCATCATTTCAATGCATACAACACGCACCACACACCACATGTCATCATTTCAATGCATACAACGCGCACTACACACCACATTCTATCATTTTAATTCAACAGTTGATGGCTTGAGAGCTTATTGAATCCCAGCGACAGCTGTGCCTTTAACGCTATTTAAAAGTGACTAAATGTTATGAAATTGATATAAAATCTTGAAATTTACTCGCATTGAATGCCAAATCTATGTTAGATTGCACCTGAACTTCTCCTCTCTTGGACTTCAGCGCCCACGGATTTTCGGGCTCGCCCAAGAAGACTCTCCAACCCTTTTTAAAATATTTAACTGCTGCATTGCTGGAAATAAAACAAATTACGATAATATTGTAACCTCATTTTTTTCCTCAAACTCGAGTACATTTCCTTTGGATCTGTACAATGGATGACAATAAATTTTTTTTTCTGTTGAATGATCTGATTTGTTAACAAGCTGTTGAATGTATTTTGATTTATCTAGATTCCAGATAAATTTCAAAAACTTTTGACTATTATCGTATAATTTCAGAGCCTAATTTCTGTTCACGTTTAAAATAAACTTTATGAATGTTACATTGTAATTTTTAAGAATTCGACAATTTCGTTTTGCAATCGAATATTTGGTTAACTATTCAGAATTTCATTAGGACTGGCCATTACGTTATGCGCATTAAAGCTTGAATTGTACTGATTAATTAATTTTTGTGTTCAATTTTTAATTGTCGCCTTCTAATCAACGCAAAACCATTTTCAAACTTGTGTTTTTGAGCAGTGCAGCGGCGTTCTCCCACTTCAATGTTTCACAGTCACGCATCTCTCTTTGAACTAACATTTTATCAGCGTTTTCCAATTTCAACGTTCAGTGTTACACAGTTTCAGCTCTCAGCGTTCAGCGTTGCAGAGTTTCAGCTTTCAGCGTTCAGTGTTGCAGAGTTTCAGCGTTGCAGCAAATCAGCGGTTGCTGTTATGGTGTTACGGGCGCTATAGACGAGGCGCTAATGGCATCATTACGACGTGTTACGACGCACATCAATATTCCTTAACAACTCTGTAACAGAACAAGCCTCGAACCATCCCCTGTTGCATCGCTCTAAAGAATGAGTTATGTTAAATATTGTGCCATATTAGCAGCCGGTTGTTCAATATCAGCAATGCGCTGGAAAAGTTCCAGGAATTCAATTCTCGCTGGTGTGATTACGTACAATGAAATAATTACCAACATGACCGCAGGTTATTTATTACGCGAATAATCATGCATTTATATTGTATAAATAATTCTGGATATACAACGACTGCCGCTAAAATTGTCTGAGCTAAAGCTTGCCAGGTACAAAAATAGACTATAGGAGCTGACAGAGACAATTGTTAGGACAACTGATAGACAAAAAAAAACTGGGTGAGGCAAAGTTGACAGTAACGAAGATTCACTGAGAGAAGAAGTGATTGAAAAAGGATTGACTGGTCAAAGCCAGGCAGACATACAGACCGACAGAGACATGGACTGACTTAGAAAAAGATTAGTAAAGATAAAGGTCGCAAGAGACGGAAATTTATTGAAGCAAAAGTTATTTCAAACTAAGATCCACGAGTCAAAAAATTAAACAAAGATAGACTCAAGCGATGATTTACAGGAAATATCTGTCGGAGACAGAGGCCGGCAGAGACTGTGGCCTTGACAGAGACGTTGCGCTAGACAGAGACGCTCGACTGCTACATTTTACCCGAGTTTTCAAGTCTTTAATTCCGAGGCGAGAATGAGCGATTAGCCGCGGCATGCGCGACTATAACATTAGAGATAACAGTGACAACAACAGCAGCAGGGACAACAGTGACAACAGCAACAACAGGGACAACAGTGATAACAACAGCAGCAGGGACAACAATGACAACAACAACAGCAGGGACAACAGTGACAACAACAACAGCAGCAGGGACAACAGCGACAACAACAGCAGCAGGGACAACAATGACAACAACAACAGCAGGGACAACAGTGACAACAACAGCAGCAGGGACAACAATGACAACAACAACAGCAGGGACAACAGTGACAACAGCAGCAGCAGGGACAACAATGACAACAACAACAGCAGGGACAACAGCGACAACAACAACAGCAGGGACAACAGCAACAACAACAACAGCAGGGACAATAGCGACAACAACAACAGCAGGGATAACAGTGGCAACAACAGCAGGGACAACAGCGACAACAACAGTAGCAGGGACAACAGCGACAACAACAGCAGCAGGGACAACAGTGGCAACAACAACAGCAGGGACAATAGCGACAACAACAGCAGGGACAACAGCGACAATAACAGCAGGGACAACAGCGACAACAACAGCAGGGACAACAGTGGCAACAACAGCAGCAGAAACAACAGCGACAACAATGGTGATAACAACAGCCGCAGACCAATAGCGATAACAATTACGGCAACAACAGCACCTGCAACAATAGCAATGACGATAACATTCGATAACACCGAATTTACACTCATCATTACCTCCCCTCCTCATTAATTACTCTCATCATTAGTTATGCCCTCATCATTACCTACCCTCATCATATCTCACCCTCATCATTAATTACTCTCATCAACACTTACCATATTTATGGTTACCTACTTCATCCATATTTATCCTCATCATTAATTACCTTCATCATTACTTGCCCTCATCATTAATTACCTTCATCAATACTTACCCCTCATCTTTACTTACCCTCGTCACTACTTACCTCATCATTACTCTCCCTCATCATTACTTACTCTCATCATTACTTGCCCTCATCATCAATTACTTCATCACTACTTACCCTCATTATTACTTACCCTCACTATTACTTACCCTCGTTATTACTTACCCTCATTATTACTAACCCTCATCACTATTCACCATCATAATTATTTACATTCATCAATACTCACTATCATCATTATTTACTCCCATCAATAACGCCGAATTAATAACATCATTACTTGTCAATGATGTATGACTAAACATTTATCACATAATGTAAGGTGGCGGTTGTGATGTCTACCCTACATCATGTATTGCGCAGCTGAATATTATGTGCTACGCTTTATATGTGTGGGTTAAATCAACATCAGACATGATACAATCAGCCTATTTTTGGGTCCGTTAATGGGGTCCATTAAGTGACTTTTACGGCGCTGCCGGTCGGGGAAGAAGCGCCCGCAATATTTCTGCCGCAATTGCCTTCTTGGCAATACATTAACCTACACGCGCCATTGCGTCGTGATCGGGGGGCTTTGGAGGGGGGGTGTAATGGAGGGGGCATCATACCCCCATTCACGACCCCTGCCCCCTGCACGACTAAGGCCCCCTGCACGGCCCCTGCCCCTGCACGACCCCTGCCCCTGTCTCTTATACACATCTAGATGTGTATAAGAGACAGGGGACATCAGTGGCAACAACAGCAGCAGGGACAACAGTGACAACAACAACAGCAGGGACAACAGTGACAACAACAGCAGGGACAACAGCGACAACAACAGCAGCAGGGACAACAGCGACAACAACAGCAGCAGGGACAACAGTGACAACAACAACAGCAGGGACAACAGCGACAACAACAGCAGGGACAACAGCGACAACAACAGTAGCAGGGACAACAGCGACAACAACAGCAGCTGTCTCTTATACACATCTAGATGTGTATAAGAGACAGCCCCTGACCCCTGCACGACCTTGACCCCTGCACGACCCCTGACCCCTGCACGACTAAGGCCCCAACTCATCACTGGCATTAAATTCGGAACACCCTTCCTCCCCCTCCCCGCTCCTCAAATATCCCCAAAATTAAGCCATCATGCGACCAAAACTCCAGCATCGTCGCCAGTATTTTTGATCTCGTCCCGCACTCGTCAACGAGATGACGACGACGAGTTTTAATATCGCCGCCGGTATCACAATCACCAATCTTGAGTTTTTTGGATGATGAAAAAAATGATTGGCCAGCGTCAGGGCGGGCCGGTCGCTCATCAGGGTTCAAAGCTCCCAGCTCTGCTGCTCTGATGAAGCGCTCGAGATAGCAGGGAGGTAGGGGGGGAAACATTGTGAATTAATGGAAAATATTTGTTTGATGCATATCCTGTTAAATAATGGAAGATATTTGTTAGGGGAATATCTTGTTAAACAGTGGAAGATATTTGTTTCATGAATATCCTGTTAAATAATGGAAGATATTTGTTGGGGGGAAATATCCCCAAAATTGTGTGCTTTGACGAAATTGAATTCAGCAAAATTTTGTTCATAATTAACAAGAATGAACAGTTTTTGTTAATTTTATTCGTTCAATTATTATAATAAAAATTGACCATTTTTGGGGTTTACACATTACGTAACGGGCACAATAATGTGTGTGCATGGCAAGTAATGTGTGTGCATGTCAAGTAATGTGTATGTATGGCAAGTAATGTGTGTGCATGTCAAGTAATGTGTATGCATGTCAAGTAATGTGTATGTATGGCAAGTAATGTGTAAGCATGTCAAGTAATGTGTAAGCATGGCAAGTAATGTGTATGTATGGCAAGTAATGTGTAAGTTAATGTGTAAGCATGTCAAGTAATGTGTAAGCATGGCAAGTAATGTGTAAGCATGTCAAGTAATGTGTAAGCATGTCAAGTAATGTGTAAGCACGCCAAGTAATGTGTATGCATGTCAAGTAATGTGTAAGCATGGCAAGTAATGTGTAAGCATGTCAAGTAATGTGTAAGCACGCCAAGTAATGTGTATGCATGTCAAGTAATGTGTAAGCATGTCAAGTAAAATTTAAGAGCGCAAAAATAAAGCCAATTGCAAATATCCGATTTAACTTATAACTATTATTGAAGTTAACTAAGAGGAGCAAACAGACGAGACATCGCTGCAGCCGCTGCTTCGCACGCTACCAGCTTTTCATTCTAAGCTGCGTATAATAATCGTCTTTAGCTCAATTAATATTAAATCTCATGAATATTATTATTATCACTCATTACATTATATCATCCGTTATTAATGATTCACTCAACCACATGGATGCAATGTTTCCTCACTAATATATTTGCATATATGTCATTTGTCTTGTGCATTGATTACGTAAAGGTAAATGATCAAGAATTTAGAGATGAAGAAAACAAAATAACAAAAAACGTTATTAACTATTAATCATTTCTGGAGACCAGCTCCATAATCATTTCAAAAACTTCAAGGATGCTCACTAAGAAAATCTTCAGGTCAAAAACTCATAAATTAAAAAATACTTTGATATGGTCTCCGTTTGAGAATGTGCAGCGATCAAATATTTTCAAATCCGATGCACCATAGGGAGGCCTAATATCTTAATGAACTTATATAAAATGAACATTTTATATATAAAAATATAAAAGTCTCTTTTCTAGCTTGTTCTTAAATCCCTCTCAGGCACAGGTAGTCAGTGTGTGGGCACTGCACCACAATATATTCTACCCTGCATGGTGTTCGGCCAATCTGATGTAGGAATTACGCGACGTACGCTGATATATACGTAACTATATATGCGCAGTATATAAGTAACAAATGGACTCGGGAACAAACAAGAAGTGTATCAGGTTAGGAATTATTAGCCAAGAATACATGTTAGTAAACATCTGGAAATTATTTTTGTTGAATAAAATATCATATTTCTCTGAAATTGGTTGCAACGCGGGACTAGGTATGTCAAAGTGCTGCGAATATCTGTTACATGTATATTAACAATTTCAGGAAACTGTTCAACTGAAGCAAAGACTTTTTTATTTTTCATTTATAACGTAGGTACCCTGAATTTATTTATATAATTTTGACCATTGAACAATGATACAGAAAAGTTCAAGGTAAAGCATCATAAAAGAGATCATCACACGATGATTTATGATAGAGTTCACTTTGTTGTAACTTCACTGTAATCATTAATTTACACGTAAGAATACAATAACAATACAAGGAGACAATATAGGCAGGGACAGCCGAGATGAAAAACTAATGGAGGACAGAAATGCGGACAAGAGGAGTCCAAGGAGGCCACGATGAGGCCAGAAGGGTGGCACGCGTAGAACACATGAGGTCCTCAATTATGGCGTAAGTATTGCGTAAGAAGGAGAGTCTGGAGGGGAGTCACGCGGAGGGCAGCAAAAGAAGGAGTTACGTGGAGTGCAGCAAAGGAGGGAGTTATGAGGAGTGCAGCAAAGGAGGGAGTTATGAGGAGTGCAGCAAAGGAGGGAGTTATGAGGAGTGCAGCAAAGGAGGGAGTTACGAGGAGTGCAGCAAAGGAAGGAGTTACGTGGAGTGCAGCAAAGGAGGGAGTTATGAGGAGTGCAGCAAAGGAGGGAGTTACGTGGAGTGCAGCAAAGGAGGGAGTTACGAGGAGTGCAGCAAAGGAAGGAGTTACGTGGAGTGCAGCAAAGGAGGGAGTTACGTGGAGTGCAGCAAAAGAGGGAGTTATGAGGCGTGCAGCAATAAGGAGGGAGTTACGTGGAGGGCAACAAAGGAGGGAGTTACGAGGAGGGCAACAAAGGAGGGGTCACATGAGTGCCTCTCATGTCACTGACAGCGATAACGCGCCTCCCAGGCTGTGTTCCCAGGCCTCAGATAACGCGGACGTCCTCGTCACATGAAAACAAGACGATGGTTGTGCGTGACGACGCTGTTCCCTTTAAATGGCCTTGGGTAATATATTGTCCTGACCAAAGATTTCCAGGACACGTCGTGGGGACAAAATTTATTACGACACAACTGGCTTCAGTGAAGACGATACAATAAATTGAAACGACTTTCAATACATTCTTGATTCAAGCTAAAATAACGATAAGACTTTGGAGGGCAATTATTTTAAATATCAAATGAAGATTATAATTAATAAATTAATTGTTCAGCGTATTATCAAAGCACCGTATATGAAATGCCTAATATTTTTAATAAGGTCTGTGGTCAGGGTTGCATGACAGAAGTCATGTCTCGTGATGAAGATATAGGAGGGTTGCAGCTGACATTACACAGAGAGTTGTTTTCGATCTTTTCTTGTTACTGATATGTCGGTGCATTGACGTATACCTCTGAATGTCTTGGCTGCGAACAGCACAATTAATACAGTTAATAATCTGTTTACTCCTACGACACTTAGTTAGCGGCATAATTGTTTAATGTCGTATTAAGCTAAAAAATACATACAATGGCAAAAATTGTATTCTGTTTATGTTCTTGCAAAGTTGCTAGTTAAATTCGTTAAAGACTGAACTAATCATTAAATCATCAGTAAATTTCACAAATGAATTTTGAATATAGGATGATTTATTTGTATATTTGTAGATGTAATTGAAAAATGTTAAAAATGTTAATTTTGAGTTAAGTAACATAAAAGTGAAATTGAATATACGGGTTCAAATTCATATTCATTATGGTTACCGATGGCCAACCAGCATCCCGATCGCCGATAAATCGGCCATGTTTTCTACCATTGACTCACAATTTCTCCCCCTGCCCCCCCCACCTTATGGTTCTTCACCTACCCTCTGGTCACATGCTAACGTTAACCTTGGAAATGATTTTTAAAGAGGAGGGGTCACCTGAGTGCCTCAGGTCGAAATTAAAACACGTAACATCTTTTCTAACAATAAACAGTACATTAATAAAACAATTGCGAAACATAAAAAGGCATGCCTAACTACCATAAAAATTAAACTCAAACCATACCTTACCATACCTTACTATGGAAAGCTATAAAAAGATCTGGTTTCAAAGGCCGGATCCCTTGTGAATCAAGTCACGAAAAGTTCAAGAATCGGCAACAGGCCATGGGCCTATGTCTTCAACGCCGACACTTCTATTCTATTCTATTCTATTCTATATATAGTCCACCTAACTCAATACGGCAGTTAAATGTTGACGACATTCAGAGCTGTGTCGGTATTGAGTATATGCTATATGCTATATGCTATATAGTATATAAAACATATAGCATTTAGCATATCAAATAGCAGATAGCATATATCATATAGCATATAACACATAGCATATTACATACATTATATAGCATATACCATATAGCATATTTTATATAGCATATAGCATTTAGCAAATACCTTAACTATCCAGCAGCATTAGTTTTAACACTAGCAATAATTACAAGGATGGTTCGTGCATTTCAATTTAAAAAAAATCGGGTGCATATCTCTGTTTATTGTTGTTATTTACTGATGACAATTCAACGCATGCATGATTTTATTGGCTGTTGACACTACAATCAATTCTTAGTGCGCAGTAGGGCCGGCGCCTCCATGGAAAAGTAAAAGTTTGGAGTGGCGGTGCAGCTGTACAGTTCTTATTATATCGCTGTTTACGAGAGCTTATCGATGCAGCGTGAGAGCAGATGCAGCAGTTGCTGCAGCAATATAAGTCTGTATGTCTGCTGGTCTGCACGGACGGTTATTTGTAAACGCCATCATGTGGTCTGTTGTCTTCCTTGCTGTGCTGCTCGTCGCAGGTATATAAAGACTGCCTGGTCTGCTCATATTCGGCGCACTATTATGGTTATATTATATAAAATTCCTATAATATTTTATTCAGCCTCATTACGACAAATATTATTTGATATTAGCATCTCAATAGAATTTAAAAATCGGTTCTGTTTACATAGCTAATTAGTCTCTGTAATGGTTATTTGCAACAGAAAATTTTTCACATTTCACTGGAAAATTTCTCTGGAATGGTTATTTCCTACAGTTACAATCGGAATTGTTTTTGTACGGTACAAATTTTCAATGCGTTCAATACAAATTTTCAACTTGTGCTACATAATCCGACGTCTGAAAAAAATGGTATAACAAACGTCTCAACCCTAGTATGACAATTGGGTTCCTCAGCCATGCTCTATCTTCATTCTTGTATTGTTTCATTATTATTACACTGCTTCATCATACTTTCATTGTTTTCTAATTCATTTATGGTTCCATAATGATATGATTGTTTCATAATTCTATTAACCCTTACTTGACTGTGCAGGGGCAGTCGCTGACGACTCAAACCCTTGCGCCGCGCAGGGTGGGTCTCCCTATGATTACAAGCAGGTAAGTAAGTGAAGGAATGATACTTAATGCTAATTTTACGGCCTTAAACAACATTATTAATAAGTTAGGGAATTATATTTAAGTCTTATTTTACGACCGAGAACAACACTGATCGAAATGACGGTGATAAATGATTTCGCGGAACGGCCAGCCACTAGAATGCCGGCTGGACAGTTTGCGGTGTTATTTCGGAAAGCGAATAAGCTGCCTTGGAACCTGCCAGTCAGATGTGACATGTGTTAGGATGTTTTACACTTGCCAGCAAGTCAATCGTAGCATTGAAAAGTCATCACACATGTCACAAAATCGCTGAAGGCAGACTGGTCGAATTAAAGACATTAATAGTATAGCGAAGTAGCTCATTGTCTAGTAAAGGTAACGCCAGTTACCAGACTTTCAGGCTCGAGTAGCAGTAATGACCGTTAATGTGTCTGTAGTTAACAAGTTGAGGCAAAGTCGGAAATTCGAATTCAGAAGCTTTTTTTCATCCCTGAATGACTCGAGCTCCTGTTAGACCACGTCCCATGACCACGTACCATGACCACGTCACGCCCTACCACGTACTGTGACCATGTCATGCCGTGCCACGTACCATAACGTACCATAACGTACCATAACGTACCATGACGTACCATGACTCCCCTGTGCAGGCGCTATGTATGGGCATTCTGTTCTACGACGCCCAGCGCTCGGGGCCGCTGGACGGCAGCGAACGCTTCGACTGGCGCGGCGACTCCGCCCTCGGCGACGGCAGCGATAACGGCCTCGACCTCACGGGGGGCTACTACGATGGTGGGGGCTCTGGGGGGGCGATGGGGGAAGACTGATGTTGGAGTGGTTGGGAATAATAGAGGGCGCATGTGGTGGGGGAAAGGGTGAAAAGAAAGGCGATGGAAACTGTTGTTGGGTGCAGGAATGTTGCGGGTCCATAAGAAGCGTCTGATCGAGGGGGCGAGTGAGGGACAATAGTGAAGGATCAATGATTCGAAGGAACGTCGATTGTGGGGACATGGTGAGCGACTGGAGAGGAATGATGATGAGGATGATGCATGGGAAACATGACGGAAGTCTAAAGTTTTTGTGGCAATAAACAATTTTTGGGTCGATAATCAAAGCAAAGCTAGCGAAGTAGGACGATGAAGGATGTCTGTTGGGATGGTAGTAGGACGACTGCTTAGACGCTGGCACTTGAGGCAGGTGGGAGAATTACAGCGACGATCGAAGAGACCTTCGAGGCATAAAGGCTAATTGATATTCATGAGTCATTTCCTGGTCTTTATTATTTCCACTTTAAGGCTCAAAATGAGAATAGATTTTTTTTGTAATGCAGTATTAAAAAAGAGACATTAAACATGAAATTATGCAATAATTCCTTAACCATTGCCCACAGCTGGTGACCACGTCAAGTTTGGCTTCCCGATGGCCTACAGCGTGACTGTCTTGTCCTGGGGCCTGCTGTCCTACCGTGCAGGATACGAAGCTGCAGGTCAGGAGCTTGCTATTTTAGACAGGATAAGTTTACATGATTGTAATTCCGGACAAAAAATTACTTAACCAAACCATCAATATGTAACCTGAATATATAATCCTAAAATAAATGTTTATAAATAAAATATAATCAAATGTTCGCCATGTAATCGAAGGTGTTCCATGCAGGACAAGTGACGGCTGCTGAGAACGCCATCCGCTTCGGCACAGACTACTTCCTGAAGGCCCACTCCGCCAGCATGACTTTGTGGGGCCAGGTGCGTGACTTTGTGGGGCCAGGTGCGTGACTTTGTGGGGCCAGGTGCGTGACTTTGTGGGGCCAGGTGC